TAATATTTATTGATGTGATCATTTGATTAACAGTCATCTCCCTCACTTGACTGTGAATTCCATTACAAGGGGCATGTCTGGTTCAACCCTAGGGTTCTAGTTTCTAGTACTGGTACGTAGTACATACTCAGTAAGCATTATTCTGAATAAATGAATGCAAGATAATTTCCCATTATCTTGTGCTGTGCAGACAAGACATAGCAGATAATACAGCAAAATACTTAAGCATATTTCTGAAAGATGTTCAAAGCAGTGAAAAAAATTATCCTTCAGAATTCTTCTGAGCCGTAAGTGTTACTTCCACTCTGTGGAAGTCTGTTCAGTGTATTGAGGCATGTTTGAGGACAGTGGTGTTTTTTCTTTCTGACTGATAGGCCGGCCACCCTGTTTTGTCTGAACAGGACTTCCTGGATACATGTGGACCTGAACCAGGGAAGGAAGGAGGCACTTTTTACTCTTCTCTCCTCTCTTGACACTGTAAGAAATCTATTCTCCTCCATGATCCAGGCTTAGTGAACATAACAGATGGGTTTAATCCATAAAAATGAAAAACTTTTCCCATTTCAACTCCATTTCCTGCTTTTCTGGGTAAAACAAAACTTTCCCTGAGGAAATGATATAAACATACTCAAATGTTCTTAAAAGATCCCACATAGCACAAAATATTGCTATGAACTAAACCATGTTTCTTTTCATTTACATTTAAAAAGAAATATGAATGTGGTAGTAGAAAAAAATATAGATAGGAATTAGGAAATGCTTTCCAATCTCCACTTCATTGTGATCTTCCTCCCTAAGCTTCAATTTCCTTGTCTGTAAAATGGGGTTGGTAAAAATATATGCCCTACCTATCTTATAGAATTATTGTAAAGGATCAAATTAAATAATATACATGAAAAGCCTTGAAATACTACAAAAGGTGATACAATATATACTGTCATTGTTACTACAAGGTCCCCATGCCATATTTCCTGCACAGCTTCAGTCCCTGCCCCTTTTTGTGCCTGGCAGGCTGCACACGATTCATTTCCTTTACCATAGACACAAGCAATCTCCTGTTATTGCACTTGACGTTGGAGGCTTCTGATTTTGGAGTAGACAGTAATGGACCTGCTCCAACAAACCTTCTGGGGAAGTCCACAGGACACTCAATCCACATCTCTGCCCACAGTTTTTTCAAGACAGATATAGAGAGGGGGCATGAGTCAAGGCCCCTGTGAAAACCATAATTTCACTGCCAGTATGGGTTTAAACTTTAACAGCTTTGGTATCCATCTGTAAAATGTCATTTCTGTTGGTTCCATCCTAGTAGCTCAAACAATAGAAATTCACAAATCCACCTCCCCCAATAAAATGTAAAAGTCTACAGTCTGTGTATAATATATGTGCACTCAAGCTATACTAATTTAGTCTACAATTACTTCTATTTTTTAGCATTTTTATTTGGCTCTTATACTACATAATTAATGGTGTTTACATGGAAAGGTTCTTTAATGTAAATGGCATAAGTGGATTACTGAGCAAGCCCTAAAACAAATAAACATTTTTCTCCTTTTAAAATTTTCTTCACTCTCCTCTGAATGTCTGGCACAAGAGTAGAGTCTTTTAAATGTCAAGGGGGATATAGAAATCAGGCTTCTGAGGTCCATTCTCCCCCAGTAAGACAGGCTTATAATTCTGTTTCCTGTAATGGTTGGCCTGGGGGAGTCAACAGTGACCCTGCCGACCCAACACATCCAGACTCAGAAGGCTGTCTTTTCTTTGGGAGGTTGCCACTGTTTTTCTCCGTGACTTTAAACATAACACAATATCTGGCCCTTACAGATCACTTCCTGCAGAGTTTGCAGTACTGGGGATGAGAAACTCATGACAAACAAATAAGCTCACTATAAAGACCAGAAAAAGACCAGGGAAGAAAACTTCCCAGGTTTCTAAATATCTCCACCATCACAATTACATCACCCAACTGTGGCAATTACCGGGACTGTCCCTCCCAGTCAAAGTTCAGATTGCATGTGTTTTGAGTGGCAGCACAGAGCAAGGTAACAGTAAAATACAGCTGGCATGACAGTCACTACCTGTCAGGATATATATCATTACTCTAAGATATTCTCAAGGGAAAGCATTGACATCAAAAGCCATTTCTTTACTCCTGCTTTCCCAGAGACAGAGCCAGCAGTGTGGAAGTGAAGATGCCTCCCACCACACGTCCAGCCCTTAGGAGGCCTTGGGGGGAAGCCTGACTTCCAGGTCATCTCTGGAAGAACAGGCAATGTGTCCTCTAAAGCACCCTTGGAGTTATCTCAGGAGTTGCAGACCAGTCTTTCTCTAGATCAGGCTTCCGTCTCAGAACTGACCATAGAGCTGGCAGGGCCTTGAGATCTAAGAGAAGAACTCAACCCGGTGAGTTCTGAACTGACTTTCCAGAACACAGAGATCCTTGCATGAGTCCTATCCAGATTCCCAGAGCATAGCTTGGAATTGGAGTCCAGACCTGGAGGACAAGATAAGGTCAAACACCTATGACAAGCATGTTTTGAGTGAACAAAATTGTACAAGACCCATCCCTATACTAAGACCTTCATATTCTCTGAACACTCTCACTTTCACATCAACTGAAATATGTTAAAATGTGTACACAGCCCACATTTAATAAGCTTGCTATAAAACACTTTATAATTTTGCCTTTGAAATTATTTGGCTAAAGTAACAAATTTAAAATATGCTCTGATTTCTCAACACAGGTATATTTAGGAACTATCACTCAGTAAGAGCATCTCATCTAAAAACTGTTTTCAAATGTAATAAAATTGTTATGAACACTAAATCCAACAATTAATGAAGCTGGAACAGTATTATATTTGTGACCATTTAACAAATCTTTATTAATTTTTCTTTGGCAGTTTCCTTTTTTTATTTTGGAGACAACAGTTTTTCCTGGTCAGACTGCAGACATTTTTCCAAGTACAGCTTACTGTGAGTCCTGAATCTAGAAGCTAAACTTGTCCTTTTGAATCTCGGCACTCAGCCAAGCACTCCCAAAGCGACTGGGCATTAACTACAGTGAGTTCTCAGGAATTCCCAGCCATGTCACGGGACTTCCACCCTCGACCAAAACAATCATGTGGAGGTACCAAGTCTAGTGCCATCACCTGAAAAAACCAAGAAATTCTTACTAATTAAACTCAAATTCTGAAAATTTTTGGCCCCTTAGAGAAATCTACCCCTAACTAATGCTAAAAGTCTTCACTGTTGGCCTTTGGTGAAGTCATTCTTCTCCTTCAGTGGGTGAAATCAGGTTTCATAAATCCAATTTACTTCATTTTCCAACAAGAAATGAGATTTGAGAGCTGATTTGGAGTTGCACTTCTAGGAAGCTTTTCTACCACTCCACAAGATGTGAGTTATGCATGCTCCACCGAGGTGTTTATAACTAAACCCAAGATAACTTCTTTAAAGACATTATATCAGCACCTGTTAGGTGGAGTGCACTTTGTTGATCGACTTTTTTTTTTCCAGAAACATTAGGTCTTATTGGAGTGTATCAACTCAAAAATCATCATAGGTAGTCTGCTGACAGCCACAAAATCCACTGTTCAGCAAATGCTGAAGTGATGAAGAATTTGAAAACTCTACTTTCTAGGTGTGTCCTTAACAATATCACATCATCAGTGTGGTTTGTTTAGGGGATTCATTCCTGACCTTGGTTTGTTTTGTACCTTTTTTAAAATCACTGAATACATATTGAGTGTATAGTGGCAAGCTCCTGGATGCCAGCATCAGACAGCATGTGATGGAAGCCCAACTCTGCTGTTTTCCACCTCTGAGAACTAGGGCAAGTTATTCAGCCTCCATTTCTTCATCTGTACAATGGTACCAATAATACTTAATAGGACTGTTTTAAGGGTAGGTGGGAGCCAGGCCACACAGGGCCTTTGAGGTTTGTGCTAAGGGCACAAGAGCACTAACACTAACACACACAAGTTAATGAGTGTTAAGCTGATGGTGAGCAATCAATAAATGCTAGCTTTGAGGATTACTCTTATTACTTATCATTTTCTCACTATTTACACCACCACCATTCAAGCCACCACACCTCCCTCCTGGACTACTTAGCTGCCTTTTGCCTTCCCTGCTGGTACTCTGCTCTCCCCTACCCCCAATCCCCTCTCATTTCCTTCCCAAAGCGGAGTGATCCTTTCAGAATGGAAAGGCCATCAGTTCAACCGCCTTCCCACATACAAACAAAAACAGAGTAAAACAGAAATTCCTCCAGCTGCCCTTAGCACAAACCTGAAAGGCCCGGAATGGCCTGGCTCCTGCCTTCCTCTCCCCACCCCCTCTAGCCTCAGCCATACTAGCTAGTCTTCTGTGCATTGCCCACACTTGGCTCCCTCCAGTCCCAACCTTCCCCAGGCCTGGAGAACTTTGTCCCTGCCCAACTCGGCCCTTCACATCCCAGCCCAAGAGCTACTTCTTCACCTAGATCCCACTCATCTCTTTTCATAGGTCCCCATTTCCTTCCCTTTCAAAGCACTTAGCTCAGTGAAGGCATGATCTGTTTAAAGGCTTACTTCCTAATGTCTGACTTGCCTACACAACTTTAAGTTTGGGGAGGGTACAGCTGCCAATTTCGTTCATCATCTTGTTCCCCATAACCTAGCTCAGCTCGGACCCAGAGGAGGAGGACAGTAAACATTAAGGTACAAATGAACGAATGGAGGGGTTAAAATTGCCTGGACTGCATATTCTCAAAAAGTTGGCTCCCACACCTGAGGCTCGTTATTAAATAGTCTCAAACACGGTTGGTCACTTTTTCGTGGCCTTTTTATTTTTTTAACAGTTTTGTCTGGGTTCTGTGTCTTTCTTTTCACGTGTAACGGCCAGGCGCGGCAGGCCTTCAGAGGGGCGATCGGCTCCGCTCTGAGATGCTGGGAGACCAGCCCCAGGGGCGGCGGGCCGGGGCGGAAGTGCGGGGCGCGGGGCGGGCGCCGGGCGGCTCCGGCGGAAGTGCCGGGGGCCAGGCGGAAGCGGCGACGTAGGCGGCGGGAGGCTCAGGTGGGTGCCGGTGGCCGGGCGCCGGCGGGGGCGGGGGGGAGAAGGGGGCATGCTGCCAATTTTGATTGACGTTAGAGGGAATTTAATTAAACCGGGAGCCATAAATCCAGGAACCGCGGGGGGAGGGGACGGGTATCATGAGCGCGCGCGCGCGCGCGCGCGCGCGTGTGTGTGTGTGTGTGTGTGTGTGTGTGTGTGTGTGTGTTGCGCGCGCCTGCGCGTTGGCGATGGCGCTCTGGGTAGTGAACAAAATAACGGCGGGAAGAGGCAGCTTTTTTAAGAGAAAGCAGAAAACATCTCAACTTCAGGCTTCTTCCAGTGATTCACAGATGCCCTGTCCTGGGTTTAATTGAATTCTATGAAATGGCAGTATAATCTCAATTGGCAGCTCGCTGAGATGACTGCCTTTTTAAATAAATATTTTTGCGCAGCCATGTTGACCTTTAATTGGGCTGAAAAGGTTGAAAGAGGCAATAGGGAACATTGTGAGTCCCGGGGCTCTCTGGGCTTCCTCTCTGCTATATTGGGCAAAAGCAGCCCTCTGGGTGTTGAACAATGAGAGAATAAATCAGAGACTGTACAATTCTCAACGAATACTCAGCCTTAAAAAACGAACATACTTAGCCTTATTAATCACCCCTGACAAATACCAGCTCGTACAATTTTTTAATCAGTCCAGAGGTAAAAGAGTCCCAACTAAATTGTCACTAACATGAATAGGCAAGATACTTACTAAGGCTGTCTTTAACAAGGAGGGTTTTCTTTTTGCCTGCGTGATCTTTATTCTTGTTTCTTAATAGAAAGTGTTTTATATAGTACTTTATATTTTAGAGCACTTTAAAAAACATCCACAGTATGGCCCAGCTTGACCTCAAGATTCTCAGCTCCTCCAGGACAAGGATAGTGTCTAGGATCTGTTATATTCCCAGTACTTTCTAGCACATTTCCCAACATGAGCAGGTCTCCTGTAAGTATACATTGACTTGTTTAAGCAGCCACTAGAACCATGTCTCAGCGTGCATGCCACTGTGCAAGTTGAGGTACCCATTAGAGGCCACAGTCTTCTCATTTAGTAATTCTCTGAGGAATAGCTTATGAAAATGCATTTGAAGCTTTCTACCAATATTTGAAGCTGTATATATTGAGATTAAAACACTTGGAAAAAGAGGTGTACCCTGGAATTACTGAGTGATTATAGTAATATTGGGGTAAGGCAGACCTAATCGTGGTTCTGTGTGAAATGTTGTGGCCTAATAAGCTGGGTCCCGCTCTGCTGAGGAATTGTCTAGAACCAGAAAGGACCTGTTGTGAAAATTAAGATTGGTGGGGCTGGTATTTTAGACAGGCAGACTCCTCAGATTTTCTTTCTTCGTGCTTGCTGTAGTCAGTAATAGCCATCTGCCAAAGAAGGATCAATATTTTTTTGTCTCCTTCACCAGAGGAAGATGTGGCTATGTGGTTTTATTTAGATGGATTGATGGCAGGTAAGGTAATAGACATGAGGATTTTCCAACTTGGGGATTTATTGGACTGTATTTCTATTTTATTCCAGATGCCTAGCTCTATCATACTCTTAGGTATCCAGAGGCAACGTGGAGATAAGCCTTCAAAACAAATTTTTTTTATTATTAAAGTTTTTATATTTCATAACGTATGCATACTCTAGCTGGCTGACGCATTCAGTTTTCTAATGCCAGGGCTTAGGGTTTCACACGTAGCAGGACCTTGAGGTGATCTGGTAACAGTAGTAAGCCTTTTTTATGTTCCTTATTTTAAATCTAATTTTGCCACTGCTTTATTCAAGGAGTGTACATCAGAGGAAGCCAAAAGCCAGCTGGAATAGTTCCTTCATGCAGTTTTAATCTTGTTTGCAATTATTTTGAAGGGGAGAAACCATCTGGATCCAGGGATATGTAGCTATACAGGTAGCAGGGACTAGGTGAGCTTACTACATCCTTCCCCTAGTATCACTCAGCAAGTTCAAGGGACAAAATTGTTTGAAAAAGAATATGCAAAATGAAAGGTTTGGGCTAAGTTTCATGTAGGTATTATCCCACATCCTTAATTCCCCATCCCGTTACAGCCACGGGGAACTGGAGGCTTGAAAACATTACTCTCTTTACATTACTCTCTTTTTATTCCATTCCTTGTCCAAGATGAAGTTTCCAGAGATAGAAGCAAAACTCAAAGTACCTCTCTTTTAAGAAAGTATCCATCTCCAAGGATTTCAGAGCATTTCACCAGTAGTATCTAGTCACAACCATTTTACTGCCATAGACTTCATCTCTGTGGGATTGTATTATTTGTAAATGTTTCTCCTACCCAAAGTGTGAGTTCCTTAAAGGCAGGGAAAGTATCTTAATCACTTTTATATTTCTAATACCTGGCACAGTGCCTGGCACATTGCAAACACTCAGTACCTGGTATAGAAATGAAAAGCCAGGGGCCAGCCCATTGGCGTAGTGGTTAAGTGTGCACGCTCCGCTTTGGTGGCCCGGGGTTTGCAGGTTTGGATCCTGGGCGTGCACTGATGCACCGCTTCTCAGGCCATGCTGTGGCGGTGTCCCGTATAAAGTAGAGGAAGATGGGCACGGATGTTAGCCCAGGGCCAGTCTTCCTCAGCAAAAAGAGGAGGATTGGCATCGGATGTTAGCTCAAGGCTGATCTTCCTCACAAAAAAAAAAAGAAATGAAAAGACAGTGTTCCTGAAGGGAAGAGTCTGGATCTAGAAGGAGTGTGAAAACATCATTGGAAATGCAACAAGGTAGAGAAAAGAATATAAATCAGTAACCTTTCAAGGCGTTACTAGATGCAGTTATAAATGCTGCAGTTACTAATGCTTTGATGAACAGCTTGGAGTGGGGAAGGGCATATTTGAGAATCCATAGATGGCATCAAACTGCTTTCCAAGAAAATCTAGCCTGCTCACTTGCAGGGCCTTTGTTGTGTTGAATGGAATATGCAAGCTGAAAGCCTCCACCAGCTGTGTCTCAGCCCTCCCTCCAGGCCTGACATGCTCAACTCCACCCAAACCCCTGTTGAGCAAAAATTTGAAGAGTGTCCATTTGAAGGTATACCAGATTATTAACTTACCTAGGGCACTAATATCTTGGTTTGGTCCTGCCTTGAGGACCTGTGTATGGTCATTATTTTAAGGCTAGGTTGCCCAAATAATACCGAAGGAAAGCCAGAATCAGCTTTTCTGCTTTACTAACATTCCAAAGGAGTTCCAAGTCAACAGCTTTTTGTGTTGTAATAGGGGAGGCATGTGGTATATGTTGCTTCCTTCTGTTGCCAGTGGGATTGCAGCAGAAACCAGAATGTTACTACTGGAAACAAATGAACTTCCTCTCATTGTGCCTGTAATTTTTCATATTAATCATGAAATAATGGGGAAGTGGCTTCTAATTTAGTCAGGAGGAAGGATGTAAAATTGAATTATTTGATTTTTTAACTCTTTACTTCTTAAAACATGTAGTTCTCCCAGTCAGCTAAGAGAAAGGATACTGTTATTTAATAGAAATTCAGTCAGCTGAGGCAGCTTAGGACCTAAGACAAAAAAAAAAAAGAAAATCTAAATTCAGCTCTGTTTATCCAGGTTCAAAAATGAAGTTAATCTGAATCTTCTTAGATTTAGAGATCAGAATCTCATTATTATAGTAAAAGAATTCTGCCATTCAAAGCTGAGACTTGCCTCGTTCTCTCCATCCTTAAATTAAGCCTTAAACAAAATGTGATATCTGTTATTTGGTGTACTCTGAGGATTAATGTATAAAGCTTTTTGAGATTTTTTGGAAGAAAGGAGGTTGAACTTGGAGGTCCCTTGTAGTTCTGAAAATTCTGTGTTGGTCTCATTAGGTATAAAAATAGGCCATTGTTCAAGAAGAAAATATAGAGAAATGAACAAAAAAAAAAATGCAGTGTGAAAGGCTTAAACATTCATTTCTTTATCCATAAAGCAAGGGGATCTCCAGAGTCACTTCCCAGTTCCAAAATATTACGATATTCTATCATTAATGGCTGTTAAGTAACAGACTAGAATTCCAAGGATTGTAGAAGCTCACGTAAGTGAGGGTTGCTGGGGCCTGACCTCAAGAGTGGATGGTTCCCAAAATTCAGATTGAGCACTGTTCTTCTGCGGGCCTAGGCGTTGTTGGGACCACAAGTCCAAGGAGATGCTGTATTTAGTAACTCAGATGTTCCAAAGCCATTTGCTACAAAATGGCTAAAAATGAATGAAACATCTTTCAAGTCTTGTGTGGTCAGGAGGATAATTTCGCCTCTCTGGAAATGGTGGAGTATTAGTGACCCATGAAAGACATCGCCTTGGTGGACAGATTTTGAAGTGCAAACAGTTGTTTCTGGAAATGGGACTGTGTGCTTTTTAATAACAAGGCAATACTAGCTGGGTACAAAAAGACTAAGATGTTTTAATGAAATTGCCTTCTTTTGGTGTCAGTATTAAGTATCAGAGATATCTTCAAAGGGAATGGGTCATTTTGGTTAAGAAGGATAATGTGGAAGGGAGTCTGCATAATTCCTTATGCACTTTGTTCCCATCCCTTGAACTAGAATGATTTTGCCCTCATCTTAATGCCACCTTTATGGAATGAAGGAATTTTCAAATTGGTTTTTAAACTCTATTAAGCCCTCATGTATGATATAACCCAACCACATTATTCAGGTTTTCTTGGCTTTCAGGAACAGCTTTACAGCCATTATGTCATAATTGTACTAAACATTGTTGCACACTCTGAATTCAGAATATGCCTCTCTGGCTCCAGGCCAGATGCTAAGTCAGTGCCTTTGGGGTTGACGATGAGGGGAGGGGGGCAGTGTGCGCAAGCCCTGCTGTGTTAGCATGAATTAGTCCAGAATCCCCTTTGAACCCCTGGCTGTTACAGGGGGTGTATAGTAACAGTACATTACTGTTCTTGATTAGCATCTTCATTTTATTTTTCAGCTGAATGTTTTTCTGGAAACCCTTCCCTGACATTGTCATGTGCACCAACCCCATTACCG